TCTACAAATTTTTACGCAAATTCTATCTCCTCCATAATTACCAAATTAGCATTCATTGAAAATTGGCACGAGAGTAGTTTATAACCTATACCTTAAAACTACGAGACGATTTTCTTGATTCCTAAAACGTTTTACTATAAAAATTACGTTAAAAAAATGCTTTAAAATAAACCAATTAAGTAAAAATAAGTTTCGAGCTTCCAGAAGACGAGGGGGGAGAATCATCAACTGGTGCAAATCATCACACAACTGAAGCGCAAAAGGTAAAATTGTAATCCAAGAACAATTGTTAATATCATCAAATAATATAAGATGTTGGATTAAATTGAAAAAAAATTACTAAAACTACTTATAAGGTATCTTTTTTAATGGTCATGGAGAATCTTTATGTGTGTGTATTAAGCACATAGAATATTCATGATGAGTAATTAGAATGATCTGACATTGGATGAAGCTTGCATCAAAGGTGTCTTACACCTTAAATAATAGTATTTAGTAGAGCTATCAAAAAAATATCACTCGTTGTTAGCTTCAATGGCTGACACAATGACTAAAAGTTTATATTTTTTTAAAAAATATCTAACTTGATAGCCAATTAATTCCTTAAAAATAAATGAAATTATTGGAACATTTTAATTTTTTTGCAAAAATGTTTGCAGGCCAGGTTCAGTGAAGAACTCACGGTATATTGCAGTGTTGGCAACGGATCGAGTCCATTGAAACTGATGTATTTTGTTCTGGTCTATTGGCATTAATAAAATACTAAATATGGTTAATATGATATGCCAAATGATCTAATGGACTGGTCGATGGGGCTGTCAACTAGCAACCATGGCATATTGGATGTGGATGTATTGTTAGCATTGATCCTAAAAAGAAACCAACTCGTTGGGATGTGACTAAAAAGGACCCAACTAGTACAGAATATGGGATGTAAGAACTGAGGAGCTAAGAAGAATCGAGAGATATCGTTTGGCAGGAATGCACACTCATCCAGGTGCTCAAACTGTTTCGTTGCCTTTTTTTAGTTTAAATGAGAATTTGTTAAACTGACTTCTGTATCTTAATTCAAGACCAACCTTGAGGTAGTTTCATCGTATTGATCATTTGAAATAAAATAACAAATAATTTTTAAAATAAAATCTGAATCAAATTAAATGTAATTACACATATATACAAATCTTTACTACCTCTTCATCACGAACCTTAAAAAAATTTAATAATTTCAAAATGTTCCGCGTATGGTTTGGAAAATTTTTATCTATTATATAAGAATCATGTGACTAATTTGATAAGCATTTTTTGCCTTTCCCCCATTATCTAAACAACCATTTACAAATAATAATAATAATAAAAATAGATTAATTCTTCAGTACCTTCATCAATACCTATTATTTTAGAAAATTCAACATCAAATTTTTGCAATGTAACTACTTTTATTATTTTTATTTTTATTTATTAATTCATCAAGTAAATGATTTGATTGTTTTGAATTTTTAATTGTTAATAAATAAACGATTATGTGTTTGCTTTTAGTAATCATTGTTAATGTTAAATATTAATAAACAAAAAAGACGGCATGACTGTTAAAGATCTGGTGGAAGAACCATTCAATATGCAACATTTAAGCTACAAATGATGGAGCACGTCATCTTAAGAACATTACAGTTATTTTCTCACTTTTTCCTTGTGTACATAAGGCTAATCTGACTCGCATCCCCCGATGATACAATGATGTAATTGGATTCCTGGGGAGGGGAAAGCATTGTCCTGGGAATTTATCAAGATTGCATCATTGTCTAGGACATTTGCGCAAATCCTGATCTTCTCTCACAGAATCTGACTAGGGAAGGCTGAAAAGTTGTAACAATAATCTCCTCAGAAATAAACATGGCATTGCAACCAGCATGTTAGCACACCAACAACAATACATCATGAGATTTTGTCTAGTAGGTTCCATTCAAATTAATTGTTTTTCTAAATTACCTGTTTATTTGTTTGATTAACTGTAATTATTTTTTAAATGGGAGGGGACCTGGGATTTTTCCCCTACCCCAGGTCCATGCCTTTGTTTGTAAGCAAGGCATACCATGAATAAGCAGAAATCCAAATTGCAACTTCTCATGTTGCAGATGCCAACTTTATCTTATAAATGATTGATGCCTATTTCTTGTATGATAACAGCCAACCCTGGTCTGAGAGAAGTTTTTGCTTGAATCACATTTGTCCAAAGCCTTCCAACATGTGATGATCTTCACCTATGGAAATAATTCCACAGACATGAGGGCGTGTAAAACCACCTAGCTGCATGTTTGTGAAAGGAAATTTTATTAAATCTGCCACCTGTAACAAACATCAGATTTATTATTCTACTCATAAGAAAAATAATCATCCAGTCAAACCTATGGATCAAGGGAGGAATAGATTTATTTGTCTGTGAATCTCAGAGATCTGGATAGATAGACGCATTATTGTTTTGAAATCAAGTTCCTTAAAAAAATCACTTCTGCATGGTCTTGGTATTATTTATTATGTCAATGACAACATCTAATGTATTGAATGATCATAATAACTATCATGAATATTAATGGATGCAGGTATTCACAGAAGGAAAGGATTAAATAGCTAAGTGATGTTTGTTTTATTAAAGACATATATATAATTAATTATATTTAAAAAATACAATAAAAAAATTCCATTGAATCCAAGACTTCACCACTATGTCAATCAAACTATCAAGCTGTTATGTTTGTGCATGATTTAAAATTCTTTTGTGCTAATTTAGGGTCTCATTTTTTTGTATAATCTATTAGTTCTCTTTTTACTGGTTGACTGATGCCAAATTTGGTAATGGGGCATATCAGAATCTGATATCTGACCAATATTCTTTAAATAGTCTAAAAGCCTATTAGTAAATATTGAAAGTGCCAATATTTATCTAAATTTTTTGGTTAATTATTGGCTTAATTTAATAAACAAACAGCTCTTTTATATTGTAATTAAGTTATTTCTAAAGTTCTTTGTACTAAAATAATATCATAATCTTGTGGGTTCTATTTAAATAAGGTTTATTCGAACAAATAATTCGAGTAAAAATAAAATGAATAAAGTGAAATTTGATTTGTTTTACAAAACAAACAAATTTTGTTCCTTTGGTGTTAATGATTGAATTGATCACACAAGTAGTAGTCAATTTAAACAGCATTGTTTTTAAAGAATTTATTCAAAATAATATTATTAAATGTATAAAGTTTAATAATTTTAATGTTGCAAAGTTTTTTGATACATCAATCTCGGTCATTTTTATATACTTTAAAGTTACTTTATTTCTTTTTTTGATAAATAATAAATTTATCCTTTGTTTATTTGTTTTATTAAATCAATAAAATTTCGGAGAACCCAAATGTATCAATTACACGAAAACTATACAAAAAAAATAAATAAATAAAACAGCTTGTAGCCTGGTCCTGTAGAATATGCATGTAAAATTCCTTGTTTCCTGATTTTCTATATCATTTTTATTAATTAAAAATAATCTTCATTGAGGAAATCCATGCAATTTACAATGTAACTAACTTATTATGTCAATGATTCCAGCGATTTTTTTCTTAGAAATAAACAATAATTTCATCTTGTTTATATGATCAGGTCTTAAAATAATAGTTTCAATGATCCATTTTTAGTAGTTCACTTTAAATAATTTTGTTACAGCATTCATAAAAAAACCCTATCTTTTAATAAATTTTTTAATTAGTAATAGTAAAATACATGTATTAAAGAATAGAACTCCACAACAAATAATTTTTCGAGAAATCCATTTATTACATTAAAACTTGAAACTGTTTTTTTAAAAGGTAAGGACAGAAGTGACTTGTATACTTTAAAATTAGTCTTTAGACCGAACCAACCATATAAAAAATAGCTGATTTACATCATCAAAATGGAATTAAGGCTCCACATGAGCCAGCTTACAAGCCAAATAACTTAATAAACTCACAAGCCAACCCGCAAGCTGGATAAGTTATCTGGCTCGCAAGCCAGCTCCTGAAGAGCTTTAAGTGGAATTACAGGGATCAAATTTAGTAAATTAATCTACTATTACCAGGATGACACCCAATAATATATTGTAAAAATATTTTTTATGAATGATAGAGAACTATTTCTAAAGATAGTCAAGAGAAAAGTAACAAAAGTCGTTGATGAATTAAATAAGAAATTTGAAAAGCGTAAACTTAAACCTTCAGAAATGTAAGCTGGATTTCAATGATACAGACAGAATGGATTGCCTATGTAAATTAAATTATTATTTTTTAGTTGAAAATATCTCTCGTCTATAATTAATATATATATATATATATATACACATGTCAAAGCCACAATTTTGTATTTTCAATTGTCTGAATTCTTAATTTTATATACAATGAAATTAAAAAACGAAATATCTCGAAAAAAAAGACTTGTCTTCTAGAAATGAACGAGGCACTAAAAATCCACCATATGAGTCATTATGTGTTTGGTTAACTGCAAAGACTGCCCTGGAGTCTTGTGACAAGTGTGTAAATTAGTTAAGGCTATCTTTCGTAATATTTAAAGATATTAGTTCGACACATAATCAATTGTTGTAAAATTTTAATATAAATAATCCCGAGTTATTATTATTATTCAAGCTCCTCATAATTATGGATAACTTGTTCAGCTTGCGAGCTTAATAGGTTATTTGGCTTGTGAACTGGCTTTAATTATTACGCCTGGGCCAATTTTCTTTGAGTGGACGTACGCTACCTTATTAAAAATTATTCCCATTATATTTTTAATTTACTATATTCCTCTTTGGTCTTTTCACATTATTATTTTTATAATTTAGTATATCATTCAATATAACCTATAAGAATACAAGAGGTTGTTTGGAATCCAATTAAAGCGCAAAATTTTTTTTTAATCATATCAAATTCGTAAAAAAATTCCCCCGATTAATTATTTTGGTGTCACGTTGATAAAAAATGGAATCAATTTTAAATATCGAGGATGAAATTAATTCAAAAGATCCTTTACATCCTGTAAATCTTATTCCTGAATTATGTAGATTATTTTATAAATTAGGTTGGGTTACAGGAACAGGGTATGCATATACACTTGTATATTTTTATAATAATTGTCTAAAAATTTTAATTATATTTTTTTATTAAATGGAATAGAGGAGGAATTTCTATTCGTGACGGGTTCGTACTATTAATACATTTTCAACAACAATAATATTATTCATAATCGTAATAATCAACAATCTTATTTTATTATTAATTAGTGAATTAGTATATATTGCACCTTCAGGTTAATCTATATTTTGGTCTATTTCTCTCCCAACAATTTAATTTATCTGATATTTTTATTATGAGTGACTTTTAATATATATTGACACCTTCAGGTTAATTTTGTTTTTCTAAAAATAATGATAACTGAAATGACAGGAGTTCAAAAAGAACGCATCAAACCAAAAGACTTATTTGTATTGCTATTATCAACAAGGCGAGAACTACGTTCACCTGAACGATATAAACCATCAGCCTGTACTCCATTATTTTATAACGCATATACATTACGTAATGCTAATGCATGTATTCACACCCATTCACAAAATGCAGTAATGGTCACCCTGTTATATAGTAATAGCGAAGTATTTGAAATAACGCACCAGGAAATGATTAAGGGTATTAGACGTGGGAGTAGCAAAGAAAATTTCGAGTATTTTGATAGTTTGGTTGTGCCGATTATTGAAAATACGGCCAAAGAAGAAGATCTGACTGAAGATATGGCAAAAGTAACTTGAAGTTTTGATTATGATGATCTTTATTATTTTAAGTGATCTTGTTTTTTTTTTTAAAAAAATCTATTTTTTTATGATTAATAGATTATGACAAAGTATCCCGAGACAAATGCTGTTTTAGTAAGAAGACATGGTGTATATGTCTGGGGAGGTAATAATAATAATAACAATTCATAACAAAAAAAAAATAATAGTAATAATGGTTATAATACTAATCATCGCTATTATCATCTAACTTGTATAGAATCATGGGAGAAAGCAAAGACAATGTGTGAATGTTACGATTATTTATTTGAGATAGCTGTCAAAATGAAAAGTATTGGGTTAGATCCAGCAGCCAAGCCGTAAAAATTTTTTAACGTAAATATTTATTGTATTATTATTAGCATTTTGCATTGTTCTATATTACATATTATATCCTTACAGTACATTATTGTATCTTACATGTCCAAGTTTTTTTTATCTCACATTCAATCTTATTTTTCAAAAAGGCAAATTATAAAATTCCTCTCTTGTTGGTGTAACTACTGGTGTGGGATACTTTTTTACGTTACCTAATAATTCATTTACATTTAATAATAATGATTAATAAATAATAATAATTTTTCAATCAAAACGATATAATTTTCTTTTTTGATTCAATTAAATACAATGAATAGTTAACATTAATGTTTAATTTATTCGATTGGTTTTATCAAAAAAAAAAAAAAAAAGGAATGTTATAAAATAATAATTTAAAAAAATTATTCATATATGTAATAACAAACTTGGAACAAAATATGGTTTTTTTGTTTAAGAAAATGGCAAATTACTAAATACAAATGGCTTTCTCTATGTAAATTTAATATTACCTTGTAAACCAACATTTTCAGCTCCAATAAGATTTTTAATAACGTGTTCAATACTCTTAAAATATTTTACAGTTTTTACATGCAATTCAAGTGTTGCATCTTCATCACAAACAATTAAAGCCTTGGGATGATTTTGAATTGCTGACACAGTCCACATATGGTTTATACCTTTATGAATTATTTTGAATATTATTGTTATTTATTTCTGTTAAACAATTACGTGTTAATGCAACAACAACTATAAATAAAATAATATCAACCTTCTTCGATACATTTGGCTAATGCAATAGCTTTATGAGCTCCGGTAATAATAACTGCGACTTCACGTGCATCCATAACAGTCCTAAAAATTAACATGAGATATTAAAAATAATTAATAAGTAATAAATACAATTAATTTAATATTACATACCCAACCCCAACAGTTAATGCCATTCTAGGTACTTTGCTGATATCATTTTCAAAAAATCTTGAATTTGCTAAAATTGTATCATACGCTAAAGTTTTTACACGAGTCCTTGAGTTCAACGAAGATCCAGGCTCATTAAAAGCTATATGACCATCAGGTCCAATACCTATCATCATCGTCATCATCAATTTTTAGATGTAAATGTAAAAAAAAACTGTTCTAATTTATTTGATTATTATTCAATCATCACACATTAATTTTGCTGGTACTAACCTCCCAAGAATAGTTCTATGCCACCAGCAGCTTTAATAGAGACTTCAAAATCAGTACATTCTTTTTCAAGATCTTCGGCATTACCATTGAGTATATGAACATTTTTCGGATTTATATCTACATGTTTGAAAAGATTATGCCACATGAAAGAATGATAACTTTCTGAATGATCTCTAATAAATAATAACAAAACATATATTATTTATTAACTATTATTATTGTTATTTTTATTATTATTATTATTATCATCATTACTACTACTATTATTAAGACTTTACCTTGGCAAACCAACGTATTCATCCATATTAAAAGTAACGACATTTTGAAAACTTAATTCACCATTTTTATGATACTTTACTAAATTTTTATAAACACCAATTGGCGAAGAACCAGTTGGCAAACCAAGAACAAAAGGTTTCTCAGGAGTTGGATTAAATTCTAATATACGATTCTTGATATATGTTGCTAAATAATTTTTTTGGGGGGAGGAAGGAACCAAGTTAATTACTATTTTTATAATTTAAATAAAAATTATTGATTTTTATTAAACGAACCCATATATTCAGAAACTGCATCACAATCTTCACGAATAATTAAACGCATTTTAATTTTTTTTTATTCTGATATATTAGATTTTGGTTGATTCAAGTATGAATGAAAATATAGATCAAAAAAAGAAAGTTATTTAAAATTAACATGTAGTTAGCCCTGTGTAATCTTTTACGCGACGTTAATCTTTACTTTTTTAGGGAGTAAGACATGATGTCACGATTAGACAAGAATGATTGATTATTTATTATATCCGTCAATATTTTTAAAAATTGATTAATTTACACAATAATAATAACGATACATCATAATTTAAGTATTAAAACTACCACCCATTCGTAATTTCCTCCTCCGCCTACGACTACTATTACTATAGATTTTTCAACTCTAGTTTTTTAACTGTTTTTTCAAATTCTAAATTATCAAAGTTCTTTAAACCAGATTTCTTGTAATCAGAATAAATTTTCAATGCATCATCTAATCTGTCATTTGATAGGTAACCATCTAATAGTATGTAATATGTAGTTAAGTTTGGCTTGATTAGATTTTGATTGACTGATTGAGAAAATTGATTGTAAATCTTTGACAAATCATCAAAATGATTATATTTAATATAATAATCAAATATTGAATTATAGATTACTAAAGTTAAAGAAATATTTTCAGACTTCATTTCACTCAATGTGAGATTTAATTTCTCAAGATCATTATTTTTAATGTCACGTTTAATCATTAAACTATAATTAATAATATTTCTATTCTTGTTACGAAGATTGTTATAGTTACTCCTACCACCACTACGATTACTATTATCGAACTTCATTAAATTATTTAAAGATTCTTTATCATTGATTCTAATTAAATAATTCATTAATGTAGTATAAGTTACTTGGTTCATTTCTATTTTGTAAAAATTAAATAAGTTTATTATTTTCCTTATTGACACAATATCGTTATATTTGATATATTTCTTTAATAATATATTAAGTGTGTAATCATCCAGACGAACATTCAATGCTTTCATATCATTAAATAATTCTATTATTATAGCTCTAGTATCAATATGATCAAATAATATATTATATATTGATGTATTTAAGATCTGATTACTCCTATCACCACCATCACCGCCGCCACCACTATTATGATGATGTTTTATATGATTATCTTTCAAATAATTATAAACTCTTAGTGCTTCTTCCTGTTTTCTATTCATCAAAAGTCCTTTGATTAGTTTCTGGTTAATTAAATAACTATCACTAATGATTCTATGATTGCCACTACTTGTAGTATTACTATTAGCAGTATCTTTACCATCAGCACCAGCACCACTAACACCGCCACTATTAATTAAATTATTTGATTCTTTGAAGATTTCAATTGCTTTGTCAACTTTTCCCAATTTAAAATTAATTTCCATCAAGCTGGAATAAATTTGAAGATTTGGTTCAACTTTATCTGATTTCATTTCTTTCCACAGTTTTTCAACTGGTTGCAAATGATTCTTCATTGAAAATCCTCGAATCATTTCACTGTACAACAAACTATTTAATTTGATAACCTTCATTTCTCTTAATTTATTCCATAAATTCAAAGGTTCATCAAACTTGTGCGATTCAAAATATCCCATTAATATGTATCTGATTATTTCCTCGTTAGTCGCAATATCTTTACTGATAATTAATTCATTCATCTTATTAATCAGCTCAACTTCATTCATCATAAATAATTTATAAATAAAATTTTTTATCAAATTTGTTTTTTTATCAATAATTATGTTTTGGCTGTCAATGTTATTGGTCATTTTATTAAAGTATGATTTTATTATTATTTCATTTGATTTATAATTTATTTCCAATCCAACATTATTACTATTATTACTGCTGCTGCTGCTGCTATTATGACTACTACCACCACCACTACCATCATTAACATTATAGTTATTAGTATTTTTGATATAGTTGTTAATATCTAGTAAATATTCGATGCCACTACTATCAACATCACTAATTTTCTCATATAAATAATTATAAGCTTCATCATAATTTTTTGATTTTAACAATTCAAAATATTTTAATTTCTCAAACTCTTTTTGTGATTTTTGTGATTCAATATCATAAGTTTCAATGATACTTAATACATTGTTTAATTGACCATCTGGTTCTAATGTTTCCACCAAATGATTTCTTAATAATTTGTCAAGTGTTTCCAATTCAAATGAATTTAGATGATTATAAAATTCCATTTTAAATTTCAATGCATCTTCAACACTCCCAACTACTGGTTTGTTTTCATCATTCAATAATGTGCTTTTGATTTCTTTTAGATTTTTTGCTCTTAAATTTTCAATTATTTTTGTCACTATTGGATCAATCTTTTTTTCTTCTACTATCACTTCCTTTTTTTTTTGTTGTTGTTGCTTATTCTCGCTGTTTGACAATAATATTTGATCTTGCTTTTTCTTCTCACCATTATTATTAACTAACAATATTTGATCTTGCTTTTTCTTCTCACCATTATTATTAACTAACAATATTTGATCTTGTTTCACTTTCTCACCACTATCCAATAATATTTGATCTTGTTTCTTCTTCTTGCTGCTTATTGACAATTGATTTTGTTTGGTCGGTTTGTGCTCTTTATTATTATACATAAAATTATTAAATAGTAAGAATTGTTGAATTAATAGATAATGCTGTTGCTGATTCTGCTGATGATGTTGTTGTTGGTGATGTTGTTGTTGATGATTTCGTAAAATGGTTGAAGAGGAAGAACTAAATGTTCTAATAAATGATCTCAAACATCTTTTATCAACTATGATATCATTGTTGTTGTTAATTTCGCATCTTCTATTTCTAATAATGAAGTTTCGATATGTAATAATTTCAAAAGATGAAATCGTCGTATGAAAATTTCTCGGTTTTTTGAAAAAATTATAATATAATGAATTTGTTTTTTTTACTGATGTCAAAAAAATCATTTTTTTTTTTGAAAAAATTGTGTTACATGGAATCAAATCTAATTTTCTTTTGGGATAAATTATATTCGAACCAAAAGAGGTATAGTTAGAAAATGACTATCAGTAAATTTTTAAAAATTGCACGTATAGATGGTCATTTGAGGTCATTTTGAGATACTTTTCCAGCACTGAGCAGTAGAGTTTCATCTTATATATATATATATATATATAAAGGGGTCAAGATATGGCATACTAATATAATGTTTCATTTTATCAACTATTCACCAAGTAGCTCTCTAATTTTCTTGGTTTAAAAAATCGAAGAAATTCAGTATATTACAGTACAAATATTTATGATGGTCAATCGATGTTGTGTGAGATTGATTGCGTCAATTTTTTTAATTGATCTATACAATATCCCTCTCTTTACTTTGTTGTGGGATAGGCACTTGTCAGGCGAAGGTGATGATGGTATATGATTGAAAATAAGTATCACTCATAACGCAATATAAAGAATATGTAGTTTAATCAGTCAGGCAATATCACTTTACTCGAGAAAAACTCCCAATCAAACTATTAAAGCAAGTGAACAGAAATTACAACCTTATAATAACGAATAATAATAATAATAATAAGTTTAAATTAAAACTGAATTCCTTATTGGCTGGTTGATGTATATTTCGGAGGAGCCCATTGTAAATTTCCTCAGAGTTAGTCATACATTTTAACTTGTTAACGCTTACTTATCACTAATATTTGTTATTTTGATTTGTTGCAGCCTGCAAAAATTTATTATTTATACAAAAACAAGATATTGAAGTAAGCAGGGAGCGGTGCGCCATCCCCCCAGAAAAAGTCATTGGTACCGCCAAGCCTACTTTATTAAAAAATTATACAAATAAACATTTTACATTAAAAGTTTCCAATCTTTTATATTCGATCAAAGGACTTTTTGAACATTTTATTTGAGAAAAATCAAATTTTAGGATGTTCAAGTTTTCCGAGAAGCTTGCTCTACTCAATGCCAAATATGCTTGACCTTCAGCAAGTGTGATCTCACGAATAGAGATAGTTATATGAGATAAGGTCAAACCTTGTGTTTATGAACAGGACATTTTAGAGCGAGAATTGTATAAACTTTATTAATTAATTAAGGAAAGTATTTTCGTCACTCGTTATTGTAACATGTTTATAACGAACGTTGCAATAAAACAAATATAATAACATTTGTCTCGACTTGTATTGACGTTAGTCGGGTTACTTTTCCCTATTAGTTAATAAAATTTATGTGACGGATTTTCTTTATTTCCTTTGATCGTGTTACCTAAAAAATCTCAATTTCAGAAAATGTATGGAATTCCCATAGATTACGTTCATAGGGCAGCATTAATTGTGTCAAGAAGTATTTTTTACTTGATTCAATCTGTAAATTAAAATATAGTTGTTTATCAGTTATTTCAATATTTGGAAAATAATAATTGTTAAATATAATTAATTACCTTTCTATCTTTTAGAAAAAATGATTTGGAATAAATTTATTTTCAATTAAGACTGTCTGCTTGTATTTTTATTTTATTGTCCAAATAATAAACAAAGGCTGTTCAAGAATAATAATAGTTTGTCAGATGTTTGAGTCACACATGGTTGGAATGGTTTAAATTTACGCTACAAATTAGTGTTGATTTTATTTCAGGATAAATTGTATGAACTGGCTGTTTGACAACATTTGACAATCTATATAATGCTATCAAGAGCACTAAGCAAAATTATTATATTATTAGGAAGATTAAAAAAACCCCCCTTAAAGTGAGCAATGAATGGATAAGTGGGTAGATACCATCAGCTGATACCATATGTAATGGTATAGTCACTCAAGTCAGCAAACAATTTCTGAAAATACCATTTTCCATATGCATACTATAAATCCTTAAATCGTCTCCTAAAAACATCAGATGGAATCCGTACATAGCATTACTTATTAGATTTATTTGATAATAAACCAACTTTACACCCACTTACCTGCAATATTGATAGAAAATATTGATGGCAAATTAGTCAATACCCCCTTCTTTATAAATTGTTTAAGATAATCTCTTGCAAAATCCATCAAAATCTTTGCAAGTTGTACTAACTTTAAACAATCTGGTTCTTGTTTTCATTTAGAGGAATCTGGACAACCAGTCTCCAAATTTAGAATATCAACCCTTTGATCATTTACAAATGCAATAAGCATGAGATCTGGCCTACATGCACTACATGAATTACCCTTCTGCACAGTGTCTGATCAACTTGTTATATTACCCCTGATTTTTTTGAGAAATGAATGTCATACTTTTTAACATTATCTAAAACAAAACTGATTTGCTTACCAGATTTTTCATATTTTGTTTTGTTGGTAAATCCCTCAAAGCAATGTTAAATAATGGTGCCAGAACTTCACTAACATATGATCCTTCATTTATCACTGTCTAATTTAAAATATATGACTTATATTTCAATAAGGTCCAACCAAAGCTGATGTCTAAAATTACATTAATTTTTATTAACTGATGATTAACTTATCAATCAAAGTAATATAGTCATTAATAAACTTACAATGCTTCCAATGATTGCTTCATTATAACTTTCAACTTCTCTGGACACTCTATCATCAGGAAATTTTCCCCGCCTCAATATTACATCCATAAATTTTAATATGTAAAGTTGTAATATTTGCATAAAAATTATGTAATATTTACACTCGATGTAATAATTGCATAATTTTTGTATGCTTATTTGCATAATATTATGGGCCCACTGTAAACTTACATAAATAGTGTAATAATTACATAAATCTGCGTCAGAAAAATTTCCTGATAATCCATTGACTGAATGGAGGATCACATGTTTCCAAAGGGGGTTCTTCTAAACCAATACTTACCTCTTGAATATACTCTTTGCAAGTTTGCAACAATGCTTCATTATTATCTATGCAAAACTTTTTTTTGGTATTTTCCTCAAAAACATTACAAAGAGAATCTGGCAAATCAGAAATAGGTGATGACTCAATATCAAATATACCAGAATATAGAGGGTGATTATATGGAAGTTGTGTCAAGTCTATTTTTTTTAAGTCGTTCACCAGCCTTTCCCATAGAAGTTTTTCAGCTTCTGAGTTTGCTTTTGCAAAAGCCTGAACTTGTATCAGTAAAAATAGTGAAAAAAAAAATCAACATCATAAGATATAATCATACATGGGCTATGTTCCCCTTTAATATCTCCAAATTATTTTCCACATCTTTGATACAAGATTCTGTATCCACATTATATAGCAGTGGTATATGCAAAAATAGCAACAACTTAATATTATAAATCCGTTCAACAATGAAAAATCAGTTTATTTATACTAGGTGTTTGAATCCGAATCTCAAATAAGACTCATTAAGGGGTTACACCCTATTATTATCAAAGTAACAGGAGAGACCGTTCTGGGAACACAAAATTAACAGGAGGGAACACAAATTTTAACCCATGCTATTTGTTGATTGACCAATTAAAATCGCGAATTTGATAAATGTAGAAATAAATATGGTTTGATTCATTTTGTCAACAATCACTTCACCAACAATTGTTTCATTAACGAATTTAAGAAGTTGGAAGCAACCGTTGAAATAGTCTAATAAATTAAATCGTACTACTCGAAAATGTATTTAAAGGGTTGGTTTTTGACTTGGTCGGATAATAACTCTCTTCCTAACTCTTCTCTTGACCATATCTCTTGATATAATCAAAATAACCTTAATATAACGAATGTCAAAATGATTGTAAATGCGACTAATTTAAGATATTGTAAAATAGTAAATTATAGATCACGGGAAATGAACATATAAATCAGAAATGATTTACATGTATCACGAAGTGAAAATTTGGAAGCAATTATCACTGAATAACTCAACAAGAAATTAAAGTGTAATGGACTACAAAGTCTTAGAATAATATTTAAACAAAAGAATTTTACATGACTCACATTGACTAGAAATTACTTGAAAATAATTCTAGACAGAAGGTTTAAATAATGTTTAAGGAATATATTAATTAGTATAAATTAGGATTTCAACAAAGTCAGAGAACTAGATGATAGAACCTTTAACATGTATGAATACGTTGTAAATTTCTCTTTTCATGTGATCATTAGTTAGTTAAAAAAAAATATATATAACTATTATCTTGTAATAACAATAATATCTAAATAATAAAATTCAAACATAAATATCTCTTAAAATAATCTCTTGCCAGTGGAATAATCCACCCACTTCCAAAACCACATAAACCTTTCACTCTAACTCAATTATTAATTAATTACTATCTTACCAGGGGGACACCTTTGATAAGTATAGTTGTGTGTGTATTTTTCTTTTAATCATTTTCTTTATTTTTATTTAGTTTAGGTCAATGCCTAAATAGTGGAAATCCTAGCTAGGTGAGGTCAGTTAAGAGATTGAGCCATAAATATAATAATAATAAGTGTATAAAGTATCACAGCGGATACTTGAGATATTATAAATATCATTGAGACATGCCAGCTCAGGCAGATAACAAAGGACTGCTGAGAAAACATTACCAGAAGGGAAGTAAGGAAACTTGCCCTGTAAATAATTAAATAGCTTGAGTGCTATAGTGAGAAAAAGTAATCAAAGAATTACATAATTGGATACTGTCATAAACGAAATAAATATTATTTTAACCAAATCAATAGATTTGTATGAGACTCAGATTTTGATCTCACAATATATAATCAAGAGAAAACATGAATGATGTATGAAAAAATCAAACAAATTTATTTAATAAAACAAAATTTACAACTCAAAAAAATTTTTTTTGCATGTAATAAAATTCCATTATTAACTATTAACAATCTAATTATATAGATCTTGACCGATCAAGCCCGCTTATATAGTTATTGAATAATTGATAATAATAAAATAAAACGTTAATTAAATATATATTTTACAAACAGCCTTGTAGATCTCGACTTTAAGACTTATTTTGATCAAACCCGCCTATAATAATAAATGTTCATTTTGGAAACTTGATTTGCAAATAGATCTTGGCTTTAACACTTACTTCTACCAAGCCCCGCCTATATAATTATTTGAATAATTGATGAAGCGCTCATTAAATATATTTTACAAACAGATTCATAGATCTTGACTTTTAACACTTATTTCGATACAAGCTATTCAATAATTGATAAACGTTCATCAGTATATTTTACAAACTTGCTTTGGAAGCTTCGTATGTCGTCATACACCTTGTATTTAACAGTTTACTTTTTCTGTTTAATTTTATTTTTTTAGATTCGATGGACCATGTTGTTGTCGGTGGAATTCATTCTGAACGCTTTGTAGTTGACCTCCACATATTCGTGTTCTTCTACACGGCACACAGCCACCCCAGTCACCGTATGTGTCCCACTGGCTGACTTGATGAACATGGTTGTGGTTGACGACATAGCAAATAATCAAAATTAAAGAAATACTATGCAAAAACAAGCAAGTAAAAAAGATTCGAAGGCGAATTGGTTTGTTTTTATTTATACATCCCAGATCAAAGGTCAATTTGATCAATCAGATTTTTTTTCAAGCCTACATCACCATAGAAGGATAAGCTTTACAAATTTGATTGTTCTAAAAAAAAAAGATCTTTTGTTTTGATCTTTTCTTTGTGTTCATTTATTTTTATCCCAGACTAAAGGTCAATTTGATCGATCAGATGTTTTTTTCAAGTCTACATCACCATAAAAGAATAAATTTCAATTGTTTAAAAAATCAACTAAGCTTTTTTTTTCTTAATTAAAAGAAAAAAAGATCCTTCGCAAAGAAGAACCCTCATGTGAATCAAAAGCCATTTGCGAATTTCAATTGTTAAAATCTTTCGTCCTGATCTTTTCCTCGTGTTTTTTTCGTCTATCGCTATAGAAGAATAAGCTTCATGCAAACATCAAAAATCATTTACAAATTTCGATAGTTTTAAAACAAATCGACTAAGCTTTTTTTTCTTAATCAATCGACGTATTTTATTTGTTTTTCCCAAAAGGAAATCAGATCATCCACTATCCTTCAAATGGTCAAAATCAAAGTTTTTTCTTGTCCAGATCATCCCAATATCTCTCTCAAATGGTCAAAATCCAAAAAAAAAAAATTTAATCCAACACGAACAATAAAAAAAAATTTGATTGTTTGTTTATCGATCATTTTTTTTTAAATTGACAACGAAATAAAACCCCGGTCTCGTGACCAGAAAATATCACCAACACGTTGTGTGACAAGCCTTTGACGATCCGAGGTAAAGGTTCCAAAACAAGACCATAAGTTTTGGTCATTTTGAACGTTCCGAAACGTCGGGGCAAGACGAAGACCTAACGTTAGACAGCGGTCGACACCACGCAAAAAACATCTAAAGCGAAACACGATTTCCTTTCAGTCAAATATCTGTTTCGCTCAACCCTAACGTTTTGAACCAAAACAGACAAGTTTTCCGTTTCACAAATCATGACAAACAGATAACAATTGGGATTCACGCGGTACTGTGACGTAAAATAACCATAACCGTTTATCATTTTTTTGGAAAACGAAAATATTTCTGTTCAAATTTCAAATCAATTTGCAAGTCATTTCAAGCCAACGCAGCAAAGAAAAAAAACGACTCATCACAAAGTTTTACCCTTTGATTTTGATCTCATCCTTCCCCAAAAATTCAGTTTACTAAAGTTGAGAAATAGGATGTTTAGAATATTCGTGGTGATTCGTATCGTAACTGAACTGAACTGAACTGAATATTCTTTACAAATTAATTATTATATATGTTAATTAATTAAATTACATTCAATTTTTCAATCGTATTTCCTTTTATATACAACGGTGTTAGTTTTGCAACCAATCAATAGGTATGTTAATGATCTGGTCTTAGGTATCAAAGACTGTTTGAATTTTTTAAAAATAAAAGCATTTAATTTGTTAAATATTATTTTATTATCATAATTAAAAAAAAGAATATATACAGACAAAATTCATTGCCTCAATAAATGACAGAGTTTCTACTCGTAATACAAATTCTTATTCGGATTATTCGTAATGCAGCTCAATCTAATTCGAATTATTTGATTTACGTCATTTTATTCGTTTATTCAAATCACTCGTTTTAATTGTTTTATCAGTTATTCAAATTAATCGTTTTATTCAAATTATTTGAATTACTTGTTTTATTTTGTTTTAATTCGAATTATTCGTTTTATCGAATTATTCATTTCATTGTTTGATTCGAATTATTTGTTATGTTATTTTATTCGTTTAAACTTTCAATATAATTTGAATACTCAAACTCATAATAACAAGAATTTGGTCTAATGTACAGGTATAGAATTTGTCTATGAATACAAGAATGACAAGAATGTGGTACTTGGCAATGTTCAAAGTGCTCAAGATGCTATTACAAGGACACAGTCAGTCAATCAAAATTTTATTTCATGAAAGAAATGTATACAGTATTTTTATTTACGGAATATGAATTATGATTAACTAACTATTGGCTTTTTTAGCAAAGCATGCATATTTTTCATATAAGAATACTTGAAAAAATATGGATCTTCACAATTTCAATTGAACTTTTGAAATAAGTATATTTTGTTATATGTGTATTCAAACTACAATGAAACATAGGTGCCTGTCCCATTTTTTAAACAGGGTACTTCAATGTCAAAGAAAGTAATGAAGATTGCCCAAGGAAATTAAGATTTGTTGGATATAAAAACATTTTAATTCGTGATCTACGTAGTAAAATTCCGGGATAAATCAATTAGTGTGCAGAAATAGCACAATATTTTATATGTAGATTCGTACTTTAAAATTTACTAATACTAAATAAAACCCGAGTTTCCGGATACCTTTCTAATTTAAATTTATAAAAGTATATATATATAGCTCCAAAATTTCAAATTACATAAATCCAAAATTGTTTTCAAAACAAATATGATTGGCTAAAACCACGCTGATCTTTCATTGGTGGATCGCGAATTAAACCGAATTCAATGTTACAAAAAAACCCTCGGTTTAGTAGATAAATTTTAATGTAAAGATAATAAAAAAACATGTATATTTGTTTTATCAAGGCATCGTCTGTATAATGGTCCAAATATGACAAAATGATTTATTTTTTTGTATGAAACAAATGTTCTAGCCAAAGATTTTTAAAATTATACAAATAGTAGTAAATTTATCAAATAATAATATTTCATATTTTTATTTTCTAGGAATAAGTTTCACCTTTAGTTCATCACAATGTCTTGTTAACCCAAAATGAGTTTTCAAAGGTGCTGAATAATCAATCAATTCAACATTAAATCTTCCAAATAATAAAACCATAAAAATTTTAAGTTGTGCCATTGCTAAATTTCGACCTGGGCACATTCTTACTCCACCTCCAAATGGTTGAAGAGTATTCTTTTGGATTTTATCATCATTTTTATTGTTGTTTGTTGATAAAAATCTTTCTGGATTAAATTTTTCAGGTTCTTTCCAATATGATTTATCCATATGAATTCCTTGAGCATTTATGAATAAAGTTGTTGAACCTTCAAATTTATGACCATCTATTTCATCAGCATGTTCTGCCATTCTAAAATTCACTGGCACTATTGGCATATGACGGAAAACTATTTTGCAAAATAATATATTTAATTAATATTAATATAATGTGAATTTTTTTGATTAATTGAAAAGTAAATTTTGTTTTTTAACCTTCTTTAATTACAGCTTCACAATAATGTAATTTATGCAAATCTTCAATTTCAATGTCTGAATTTAAATCAATGGCCTTTTGAATTTCTTCAATAACATGTTGTTTTACTTCAGGGTTGTGACAAACATAGTAAATAATGAAACAAGTTCCATTTGCAATCTAAAAATTTGAAAATTTAATTATTATTATAATCCAATAACTCAATAATCAATCATTCAATACCACCACCACCACCACAAACCTTATCACCCAAAATAGCTTCCATAATACTTTCACATATGTCTTCATCAGTCATTGGTTCAAGAGGTTGTTGATTATCACCTTGAGATTTATCACGTGGTGTATTAAATGTTAACATCAAGGTCAACATATCAGGAGTCAATTCTTGATCAATTGGTGTTTTTTCAATTTCATTTCTACGTTCTTTAATCAAATTTGCCAGGTAATGTTTCCTTGTCCAATCAAAGCTGTGAAGGATTTTTTTGGAAGAACTATTATAACCTGGCAAAACATGTAAAAACATAGGTGTCATCATAAAAAATTCCATTCCATTAAGCATAGTTCTGATATGATAAATTAGGGTTTCTGTTTCAGAATTTTTATCAGGTGCACACAAAACTTTATGATAATTATTTAGAGTGTTGGATTTTTTATTTGTTGTTGTTAATATCATAACCTCAACAAAAAATCTTAAAACCCAATCCAACATATTGATTTCACCATCCCATTGATCCAAATCCTTCCAATATTCTTCCATTTCCAAAAATGATGATTGAGTGACCTTGATATTTCGTCTGATAAAACTTGGTGTTAAGACAGCTTTTGTGAAAAAATTTCGATTATAACTCCATTTATTGTAGTTATCATTGAATAATAAACCTTTAGAAGTCATGTCCAATACATCTAATCCTTTGTTTGGAGTTGTACGCTTATTATAATTACCAAATGAAGGTTTAAAGATTTTCTCAAGATATTCAGCTCTACCTAACCAAATAGCTCTTTCTTCACCAATCCATATTTCACCAATATCACCATATTTTGATTGGAGACTGCTTATCCAAGCTGCCAAATCACTATATGAAGTTAAATTACCAATTAATGGTAATGGTAAAGGACCTGGTAATTTGTTTGGACGTTTAAAATATTTCACATAAAAATTTATCACATAACCAATGACAAGTAATAAACTTAAGGAAATAAAATCTTGAAATGAAAAGGTTGACATGATTCAAATTTAATGGTTTTTTTTTTAATCGGGTTTTTTTTAATCGGGGGTTTTTTTAATAAAAGAAAAACCAAAATATATATATATATATATTCTAAATTCGCGCGTGGAGTTCAAATTAACCAATCAAAATTTTGTATCCCATAACCTTGATTTAAAGGGTTAAGTCCAGGACGGTCTATTACTAATAATAATAATATTATTATATCCAATTCTTTGTGTTTTCGTTTTTTTTTAGACCAAAATATTAATATTTTCATTTGAACGATATTTGTTTTAAGCTAAGCTTGATCCATTAATGTAATAAGAGGTTTCATATGATTATCACACAAGCAGGGCTGGAAATAGTACTTTAAAAATCCGGTCAATCAAAAAATAAATTCGAAATTCGTGTCACATGAAGTTTTTTTTAAATATCTCATTTTTATAATAAACTCGAACTTTGTTGTTAGAGTAAAATGAAATTACTCCATTAAAGCTTTCTAATGAATACTCTTTCATATCGAAAGGTCTTCTCTACATGAATTCACGGCTATTCAAAAACGGTATTACTTTTTCACTTCAAAGCTCAGATTATTTCTCAATATCGCTTTAAAAGATTTGATAGTAAATGAGAAGACGTAGAATACTTTAAGCTTTCATATGGTCATTACTCTATGGAGGTGTTGGTTAATAAGTTTTAGAGAGGTTCACGAAAAACTATTTTATTCAATAGTTTGTATAAGCATTAAGGACAAGATCTATGAACAAAATATAATAATGAAGGTTTTATCAATTATTCAATAGTTTGTATAAGCATTAAAGAAACTTGCAAAATATTCTAACAAACATTTTATCAATAATTATATTTATTATTTATTTATGTATATAAATTTCTCTTTTATTTTAGCTTATATTTATAACATCACAATGATAAATAAATAACAAGAGGTTCCCAGGGAATATAATACTTGTATACATTTTTTAAAATGTTATTAGAATATTCAAACTCTTGCAAAAAATCAATTTATGAGGCGGCATTGATTCTTAAAATTGTAGACAGATAGGAGTGGAGCTTGTGTAATTAACAAAATATTTAAATTTCAATTACACACAGAGATAGATAATGGTGCACTGGACATTTGTATCAAGATGGGGTTTTCTCAATAATTAATGTTCAATTATAAATAGATTATTATTGTTGTTATTATTATTATTATTATTAACTTTTTATTTATTGATTGATATGTATAAATTTAAAGAAACCATGACATATATATATATGTTGTAAATTAATGTTATTCTTATATATCCAGCAAGAATTTCATTTAACTCTTGAACTTGGAGAAAATTTAAATATTATTATTAAATTAATTTTATTTCTTGGTAAGCCATACATGCATTGTATTTTTTTCAAGGAACCTTTAAAATTTTTTATTGGTAATAAATTATTAATTATCATTATTATATACTATATAAAAATAATTTCATAATAATAAATTTTTATTTTGCATCTTCATTATTCTTCAGGAATTATGTCAAAAAAAAAATTTTTTTTTATTAGTAAATTTTTATTTTAAATCAATATAGAATCATATAACTATATTAAATTTTTTTTACTTTCAACTTTGCCAGTCAATTTATGCACATAAATCTCTAGGACTTTGACTAATAATTATAATAATCAATGCATATACAAGTAATAAATAATAATAGTAAATAATATGACATTAAATAAATTGTATATATAAATTTACGAAATAACTAACCCATCAACAGTGCATCCAACACTAAAACATTTTCCCAAAACCTCTTTTACAGTTCCTTTCAAATTTTTAGCAAATGATTTGTATCATAATGTACAAGCAATTTCTATAACCTCATCAAGTGTGATATTACCAGCATGTTTGACATTTTTTTCTTTTTTACAATCTCTTGGTGGTTCTTTAAGTGCTCTAATGACTAGAGTAGATGCTGTGGGTACAACAGAAACTGCAGCTTGACGATTTTGAATTGTTAATTTAACAGTAACTATAGATGGGCGTCTAAATTGTTTTTGGGGTCAAAATAGTATTTAGACAAAAATGTCTAAATGTCTAAATGTCTAAATTAATATAAATAGTAATGGTTTGCTTTAAATACAATTAAAAGTCACGTGCATATACACAAAATCCACAAAGTTCAGTAAATTATCCAATAAAAAATTCAATTTCAGGACAGAACATGGAAAAGTTTGCCTTTTCATCTTACAACAGACAACCAGAGACATCATTCTCAGAAAGCAAAATCAAAGCTTTCAAGATTAAAACTATGAATAATAATTTACCTGTACTAGAAAACTTGAAGATAAGACAACCTGATTTATATGGAAATGAATGGACATGCATTTCCTGTAAACAAGAAAATGAGACACAACAGCACTTATGGTTGTGTAGAAATAGTCAAAAAACAATCAAAGAAATAATAAAAAAATGTAAAAGATACATAACAGAAAAAATCAAATTATTGAAACAGTATAACAATAAAGATCATAATATAAATAATATACTGTCAGACATTTGTTGGGATCCATATTATGATGAACAAAAAATTACCTTCTTAGATTTAATTAATGGAATAATTCCAAAATCATTAAC